ATCCTTAGTTCTCATAAGGTAGACATAAGTGTATCTAGAAAAGTTATCTATAAATGTTATGAAGTATCTCTTACCTCATTTAGTTAATACACCATTGAGTTCATTGATGTCAGAATGAACTAGTTATAAGAGTTGAGAATTTCTCTCAACACTAAGGAAAGGTTTCTTAGCCATTTTAGATTTTACACATATCTCATATTTTTCAGTTGATTCATTACTGTAAGCAATTATACCAAGTTTGCTCATGTTCTTTATGGATTTAAAGTTCAAGTGTGCTAATCTATCATGCCATAAAGAGAAAGAATCAACAATATAAGCAAAAACTTTTCATACTTAATTTGAACATACCATTACAACCATATCCCTTTCCAACAAACATCCCATTCTTGGATAAGATTAGTTTGTCGGATTCAAAGACAACTTTGAATCCCCTCTTACAGACAATTTACTGAGACAAAGTTCTTTCTAATGTCAGGAACATGGAGAACATTCAGGAGAGTCAATGTCTTTTCGGAGGTGAAGTTCAACTCTACGCTGCCTCTTCCAGYAACTTTGGCACATGTTTGGTTTCCCATCTGTACCTCCTRGCCATCAGTCACTTCTTCATATGTCTTGAACAAGGATTTGTCCTTACAAACATGGACTGTGGTGCCTGAATCAAACCACCATCCAGAAGACGATTTTGCCATGTTGACTTCAGTAATCATGGCCACTAGATTGTCTTCTATCATGTTTGCAGACTTGTTTTTGCCTTTCCGATGTCGGCAGACTCAGACATAATGCCCCTTCTTTCCACAAACATAGCAGGATCCTTTCTTATTGTTGCTCTTGTTGAAGTTCCCATCCTTCTTCTTTACTTGTAATGCAGGGTTAGTCTTCTTCGATCCGTTTTTCACAAAATTGACCTTAGAGTTCAGCATACTGGCCAAGGTCTTATCCCTACTGTATCTAATCCGAGACTCTTCTTCAATACGAACGTGTTGTTGAATTTGCTCCAAGGTAAGTTCTTCAGCCTTGTGCAGAAGCTTCTTCCTGTAATCCTTCCAAGAGAGTGGAAGTTTGGCAATGATTGCTCCCACTTGGAAAGATTCAGAAAGGATGATGTCAAGGGATCAAATTTTGTTGACTATCACCTGTAGTTCATGAACTTGCTCCAATATGGGTTTATGGTCATTCATGGTGAAGTCAAAGTATTTTGCAAAGAAATAAGGAAAATAACAACAACAATTTATATTTAAAAAAATGTATAAATTTCATAAAAATTCGAACACACAAATACCAATAAGGAAAATAACGAAGAGACAAAAATTGATCAAATACCTTAATCGATGCTGCTTTCTTTTAATGCTTATAGGGATGATATTGGTGGTCAACCTAAAAGGGGAAAAAACTGAGTAAGAAGAAGAAGAAGGAGGAGGAGGAGGAGGTATCCATCTTCTATGCGCAGCTTAAGAAGGAAATGAAAAAGAAGAAGAAGAAGACGAAGAGAGAGAGAGAGAGAGAGAGTTTACCTTGGATTAAACTCTTTGGATCGTTCTTAGCTTTAGGACTTCAACAGGTCGAGATCGATCTCACCGTTACCTTGTACAGAGAGAGAGAGAGAGAGTCGATTAGTTTTACATTTTACAGACTTCAACAAAGCGAGATACCTCAATAGAGAGAGGGGGACGAGGGTTTACCTTGTACAGAGAGAGGGGGACGAGGGTTTACCTTGTACAGAGAGAGAGGGACGGGGGTTTACCTTGTACAGAGAGAGAGAGAGAGAGAGGGACGAGGGTTAACTGAAAGTCGAGAGGACTTGAGCTCGAACGGAAAAAAAATAAAGAAAGAAAGAATTTTCGTGCCACAGCTCAAATTTCATTCTCGGAAGAATGAGTTCTGCGACAAAAAATGAATATCCAAACACCTACATCCTATTCATTCTTATTCATTCTTTTTCAGAATTGCAAGAGTTAAAAGAATGAAATCACTGACAGCGAACCAAACATGGCCTTACTTGATGTATTTCGTAATGAACCTCTTTGCTTTTATAAAGTATATTTCGAGGGTCATAGTTTTTATTATTAAAACTTCTCTCATTTCTATTTTTTTATAGGAACTAGAATATTATAATTACTTTCTCATGGAACCAATGGATAATTCATGTTCTTCAAGGTCATGATCCACCAATTTAGGAGATCGATCCCAATTTGGTTCCATCATTTGTCCTATTTCAGGCTCACGCCCGATCTCCATACAAAGGATGCTGCATTTGACTAAAATGTAGTTTCTATCTTCATCTTAACCAAAAGAGACAGGCCTGATCAATGTTCAATCCCCTTTCAAATAATTTTTTTCTTGGTGGGGATTTTATTCAAGATTAAGTGCCAACTCATGAATATTTTGATTTCTCTTGAGCACACATTAACTTCCTTTTATTCAATAATATTCGAAGGGTGGTTGGAACACGATGAAAATTTCCTAACAACATTCTTTACCTCAAGAGAGAACACCGCGCGATATATATATATATAGCAGCCTATTTTTTCCTTTTTTTGCATTTTCTTATAAAATAATATAATATTAAAGTAATAATAATATTCATAATATAATAATAATTAAATAATATAATTAAAGTAATTAATTTTAAAATAATAAAAAATTTGACAAAATATTAATAAACTAATAAGAAAATAAAATGTAATAAAATAATAAATAGACTAATACAAAATAAATAAAAAATAGTTGATTCCAATTTCTAACTCAAAATGAACCAAACAACAACAATCAGAATCCAATTCCAATTTCCAACTAAACCAAGCAAGCATTAGGAATAGATGATTCTGATTTCAATCCTATTTTTAAAATATTATAGTAATAATTATTAATAAAACTTAGTAAAATTTAAAATAGATTTATCTTATAATAGTTAATAAAAGTTAAGAAATTTGGTTTTCTTAAAAATGTTAATTAAAAATCTTTCAATTTCACTTAAAAATTAAACTTAATAAATAGTAATAAAAATAAGAAATTTAAACACTAATTAAGAAATTTTTGTAACCGCAACCTATTAAAATTGGATCCACTCAGATATTCGACTTTCCTTAATGGATTTATATTCGAATCACCATATGTGAGATCTGACTAGATCTTCGGATCAAATCGGATCTAGATATACCTCGATTTGAATCCGATCAAATATATATAATAGGACATGTTGTGTAGCATGGTCATTCTTTCTCACTACCGTTTATCTATTTGATTTCCTTAATACTCTAATTAAAAACATTTCAATTTGCTAGTTTATGTTTTACAAGCAGGGACCTGTGCAATACACATAATTTGTCAACGAAAAGTGAAATAACGGAAACCGATAATTATTATAAGGAAGGAATTCTATGTCGTTTAAAATAACCAATCTTTATTTTAATAATTTAGTAATTTGGATTAATTATATTAATATTTTTTGTATTTTATACTTAATACATTTATTATGCATATATACTTTTAAAATAATTGGTTTTCTTAATTTTTTTTTATTTTTTGGGTCATTTTAAACATAATAAGATGGTTGCGTATTAAATCTGAATATGATCCAAAGCTGAGATAATAATCATATGCAAATATGGATCTAAAGATTTCATAATCAAATGTGGATGTGGATACAATTGAATTTAATCTAAACTCAAGTTGTTTACGGTCTCATTGTTTGTATTATGTGTGGGGTTGGTGTAGATCTAAGTTAAACCAAGCTCAAAAGAAAATAGTTGCTTAAGCTCAAAAATCTGTAGCTCTACATAGGTTCGGGTTAAGTTATAAATGATCATCCCTAAGTAGGAGTCTTATGACATTTATAATTAGGTCATTATTAATTTTTATTTGGAATGCAAGTGGTTTATTTTATTACTTTTAATAAATTATTATTATTATTAATTATTATTATTATTATTATTATTATTATTATTATTATCATTATTGTTGTTTTTGTTGTTGTTGTTGTTGTTATAATGTATTTTAATTTTAATGTATGACTTACTAATTTTTATTAATTTCTTAAATTTTAATAGTTTCTAGATAAAATTTGCTAAAATTTAATGTTTTTATTAATTTTAGTTATTAGGTTTCAAATTGTAGTTTCAGACAATTAACCAATTAAGAAGATTTGAATATGAATAGGGATGGCAATGTTCCCCATCCTAATGGGTACTCAACATTGGGTCAAGGATGAAAATTTCCTTGGCAAGGACAACAATTGATAGCGATACCTAACGGAGGATGGGGGCGAAGACGGGGGAGTGGATTCCTCACCTTGCCCTAACCGTAGGTGAGCTTGTCCTTATCCCAAGCCTAGACAAATATTATTATGCTTAGGGTATGGCCAAGGTTGGGTTACACAACCTATAAAATTGTTAATATACTATTAAAATCTAGCATGAGATCTTTTATGTTTTTGATTCATTATGCTATGGGATAACTCATCCCYCATAACTCCTTTGGGTTCAATATTAACAATTTTTATTTAAAAATAATTAAAAACCCAAAAATAATGCATGCATGGGTTGTGCTTAGTTTTGGTTTAGTCTAATTACTAATCTCACATTGCTCTTAGGAGGTTGTGTCAGGCTGAGGATCAACCAAAGCCCAACTTGAAGTCTTAAAACTTAAGCTTGAGCTTAGATTAATTTAATTATAAAAAAGTTAATTTATAGATTAATTTAATTATAACATTTAATCATTAATAAAGTAAAATAAATAAAATAGAACACAGATAGATAATATGAAAAACAATTATTTATTATTATTTAGTAAGTAATAATTATTTATTCAAAATAATAAATTATTTTTTAACAAATTAGTAAAATAAAAACTACTAAAATTATTAATATAATTATCAATTTCGATTCTTTCCATTTTCCATAATAAATCCCGTGAATGGCATATGGGTTCCGTTAGTTTTTTTGGTAAAATATGGCGAAGAAAACTAACAAAAGAACCCGCCAAATCTTCAAGGTTTTCAGGGTCTAGCCCGTGAAATCGTAGAGCTCCACTTTAACGAGGGCTACATCGTTGGGCTGACCGCAACAAAAGAAGCAGGACAAGCCCTCCAAGTCCCTTGCAACTTTTCCTGCTCCTGTTCCTTGTCATCAAAAAAAAAATGCTGGAATTCTGGGTTTACATTCAGTTTGCCTAAGAGTTTAATCCATCTGGGTTTTCTCCGTGTATGCTGATTCACAAAACCAAGCTCGTTGAGGCCCTCTTCAGACCTTCTCATGCTCTCTTGCCTTCTTCCATGCTTTCCTCTCATTCTCTTTCATCTCCAGCTGGAGGAACTAACTCAGACACTGTAAAAAGCACTATATATCAAATATCCCATTTAATTAACCAACCTAACTGGGAACGCAACAAGTACTTGAAGTCACTGGTTTCTCATTTAACTCCTGATGTTGCGTCCAAGGTTATAGAGCTTCAGGGTGACGATGTTGAACGCGGAGTCCGGTTTTTCAAGTGGGTCTGCAAGCAATCCACTTACTGTTATCATTTGGAGAGCAGGATTACTCTGTTGAATTTATTGGTGTCTTCTAATTTATTTGCTATTGCACAGAAGGCCATTATTGCGACGATTAAGGATTGTTGTAGTGGTGAAGAGGAGATTGTGAAGTTAATGGACGCACTGGATGATATCCGTAAGTTGGGGTTTAGACTCGGTTACCCTTGTTACAGTACTCTTTTGATGTCTTTAGCTAAGCTGAGTATGGGTCTCAAAGCATTCTCAATTTACTCGAGGATGTTGGTTGATGGGTTTGTTCCTGATCTTATCATCTATAAGAACGTGATAAATGCTCTTTGCAAGAATGGTCTTATGAGAGCTGCTGAAATGTTCTTTTCCAGGGTTTTAAGACTTGGGTTCGACTTGGATACTCATGTTTATACTTCACTGGTATTGGGCTATTGTAGGTTGACTGATCTCAGTGAGGCATTCCGGGTGTTTGAGTTAATGTCTGATGAAGAAGGTTGTAGACCCAATTCTGTTACATACTCCGTATTGATACACGGTCTGTGTGAAGCAGGTAGGCTAGCAGAGGCCTTCCAGATGCAGCAAGAAATGATCAAGAAAGGCTGTGAACCGAGTACCCACACATACACTGTCCTTATCAAGGCATTGTGTGATTCTCGCTCAACTGATAAGGCTTTGAGCTTGCTTAATGAAATGGTAGGGAAGGGATGTAAACCAAATGTTCACACTTATACCATATTGATAGATAAGTTATGTAGGGAAGGCAGACTTGAGGTGGCCGATAACATGTTTAAAAAGATGYTTGATGATGGCCTTTTTCCGACTGTAATAACCTTCAATGCATTAATTAATGGTTATTGCAAAGAAGGGTTTGTCGTTTCTGCTTTTGAGCTTCTCAGTATGATGGAGAAAAGAAATTGTAGGCCTAATATGCGGACTTACAATGAACTCATTGAAGGATTGTGCAGAGTTAATATGTCCTATAAAGCAACCTTGCTATTAAGAAGGATAATCAATAATGGGTTATGGCCCAATTTAATTACCTATAACATTTTGGTTGATGGATTTTGTAAAGAAGGTAATTTCGACATGGCATTCAATGTATTTAATTCAATGAGCTCAATTGGCCTTGAAGCTGACAGTTTTACTTTCACTACCCTTATCAATGGGTTCTGCAAACATGGGAAACTGGAGAAAGCAAATGGGCTTCTGTGTGAAATGCTGAAGAAGGGGATTTCTCCTGATGAAGTCACATATACTGCTTTAATAGATGCATACTGTAAGATTAGTGACATTGGAAGTGCATTTGCCATTTTTGAGAGGATGACTGAGCATGGATGCCCACCAACTTATCACACATTCAATTCATTTATTGATGCTCTGGGCAAAGAAAATAAGCAGCTCGAGGAACATGCAATGTTTGGTAAGATGCTAAAGTATGGCATAGTTCCTACTGTAGTCACTTACACAATTGTAGTTGATGGGCTTTGTCGAGCAGGAAATATTACCTCTTCCCTCAATGTATTGGAAACGATGAAGCAAGCCGGTTGTCCTCCAAATGTCTACACTTATACTGTTTTGATTTCTGGTCTCTGCCAAAATGGAAGAGTGGAGGAAGCTGAAAATCTTCTCCTTAGTATGTCTAGTTTGGGAGTTGATCCAAACCATGTGACATATACTGTCTTAGTCAAAGCACATGTTAAGGCTGGGAAATTGGACCGTGCCTTTGACATTGTAAGTATCATGTTTAAAGATGGTTGTAGGCCCAGCTGTCGTATCTATCATGCACTCTTGAAGGGGTTGCTTTTGTCAAGCAATCGTATTAGAGAAGAAGTAATTCCTACCAATGATTTGGGTAGTAGAGCATTACCGTTGGAGGAGAATGGTGGCCAATGTTTCTCTGATGATGTTTTTAGGGAAGTAGACATAGATCATGCTTTCAAGCTTAGAGATAGGCTTGAGAAGTGTTGTGGGATTACCTCAGATATGTATAATCTGTTAATAATGGGTCTGTGCAAGGAAGGAAGAATTTTGGAAGCAGATAGTTTAATCCAAGACATGGTAAAACGAGGCCTATTTCCCAACAAGGCCGTTTGTTCATCTCTTATTGAACATTACTGCAGGTACCACAGATTTGACCATTGCCTTGAGTTCCTAAATCTAATGCTTGACAATGGTTCCATTCCATCTGTCTCATCATACTATTCTCTGATTCATGGACTTCGTAATGAAGGTAAGGTCCAAGAAGTACAAAAACTGGTCTCTGACCTCTTAAAATATAATGGTGTTGAAGTTGAAACTGGCCTCTCACCATACATAGAGTTCCTGCTCGAGAAGGATGAGCCCAATGATCTTGAGATTTTAAGAAAAATTGAACTAGTGCACAATAATGAAAGGCCAATTATCTAGTTCCTACTCTTTTGCCTGGTTTCAATAATCTTGGATGTTACAGGATACTTTTGGCTTTATCCTGTGAAGATGAATTGTTTAGAAAGTATGCAGCAAAGCACTTGGTGTCAATGCCAAGCAACCATGAAGCTTCCAAATTTTTGTAAGTTTTCTTTTTTCCTTCTTTTTTGTTTATTGGAACACAAATTAGGCATATCATCCTTACAGAACTTAATTCCTTCTACATACCATTACATGTTGCTCAATGACTCCAGTTTATTGTACTGGTAGACCACCTTTTGAATGGATAGTGTCCAAAAATGAAACATAGGCTCCATTTCTTTTCTATGGTAGGAGTGTAAAATTTTTTCAATCTGAAACAGGTATTTTTTACTGAACAAATATAGAAGCAAATGCATCCTTAGGGAGAAGTTTGTAAACTGGAAACTAAGAAGTTTTCAATTACTTTGCACTGTTTATTTTTCAAAAAGTAGTCATCTGATTGAGCAATCTGGATCAATGACTTGGTGGGGCATACATGATTAGGGAGATAAGGTTCTTTAAGGTTGATGGAAATGATGTCTATTTTACATATATACTTATTTTATCTTCTTAGGATTTTGATTTCTGATCACGAATTTGTTTCTTCAGTGTTCTTAATTAACTGTTAGAAGTTCCTTTTCTTTTGGCTGAACAATCATATTGAGATAACCTGACTTGTTGCCTTTGAAGTATCAAAATGGGTCATGAACTGTGATTTGTGTCTTCACAAGCTCAAGAAATGCTCATTTTATACTGTTTTTGGACTACAAGACATTCAAGAAGTACTCCGCTGCTTGACCATATTTGGTAAGTTACATGTGTTAATGGAAGATTAATTTCATTGGGATTAGGTGATTCTTTTTTCTTTTCTGCTCTTCTGAATTGTAATAATTAATTTATTTTTCTTAGTGATACTATATAACATCTACAAATTTTTTCTTTTGGGTAAAGGACCATTGCTTGGTGTAATGGTAATCTTGGGTTGAGTAGTTGACAAGCATGGGAATGCAGGTTCAAGTCAGAGTAGCCACTTTGTACAAATATTCCAAAGATTAGATCCTCATCCAGTCTGCCCCTCCCAAGACCCTAGATAGCTGGGACCAACATTGGGTAATGACCTTGTCTATAAAAAGGGGTAATGGCCTTTTTTTGTATTATTATTGCAACAAGCAATGGTAAAATCTCAGTATGACAAGCATGGAAATACAGGTTTGAGTCTGAGAATAGTCGTTTCTTGCAAGAAAATGCCAAAGATAGATCCTTATCCAGTCCATCCCTTCCAAATCCCTAGATATCCAGGACCTACAATGATAGGTTAGCTCATTTGTCCAATGGCTTGTTGGACATAGCAGACTGATTAGTTAATTTAGAACGTTCACGAACAGGAAGATGGAAGATTTACAAAACAAAGGCAGCCAAAAACATGAAGACTGGAGAAATTTGGGGGATGACCAAAAAGTTTTCGGAAGGGAGAAGTGTTGCCGAGAACAGAGGAAGGAAGATAGTTGATCAAATACACAACTATACTGGCTGCTTCTACCCAAAACAAAGTTGGAGTATGGGATTCCTGTAGTAATGTCCGCACAACACTGAGGATATGTCCATTCTTCCATTCAGCTACACCATTCTATTGTGGTGTGTTTGGGGAGCTGTGCTCACATTGCACTTGAAGCGAGTTTGCACCATAGTATGAAATAATTTAAATGTGCCAAAGACTTTTGATTTGTGCTGTAGAAAATAAATCCAAGTGTATCTGGTACAATCATTTATAAACAATACAAAGTATATGTATCCCAATCATGAAATAATAGAAGCAGACCAAATATTACCATGTATTATCTCAAAAGGTTTAGTGGCATGCTTAAAAGTGTGAAGAAATGGTAAAACATGACTTTTACTTAAACAACAAGCAATGCAAGAAATATCAAAAGTATGAACAGGAGGAATTTTATTCTTAATTAAACCAGAGTCAAACAAAAACTTCAATTTTTGAGAATATGGATGACCCAATCGTTTATGCCATAAATCCTAAACATTATTTCTATAACTCAACAGAGAATCAGACATAGAAGAACTAAGAAAAGCCGAGGATGCTTCTGATTGAGACTTATCGAACTCCGACGCAAACAGATGGCCCAACCTACACCCCTTCCCTTTCACCTTCCCAGTGTACCGGTCCTGTATCAAGCAATCATCATGAGAAAAGGTGAGAACATTTCCTTCATTAACAAGTTGACGAACATAAATCAGATTAGTAGTAAAGCTGGGTACTAAGAAGGTTTTGGAGAGAGGGAAGAATCTAGTGGGTGACAGTTTAAGGGACATCATTACTACCAATAATGTCTAACTTTTCACCATTGGCAGTAATAATATGTTTATGGTGAGTTTCAGTGGATGGGTTTGGATGATTGAGGTAGGCTCCTGCCATATGATTGGTGGAACCTAAATCTATAATCCAAGCATGTGAAGGGGAAGAACAATATGCAGAGAACTTACCAGACAAGCCAATAGCAGAGAAAGTAGAGGAAATTACAGAGGATATCAATTTCTGAACCTTTTCTTCATCCATTGCACTAGTTGAATCACTTTTCACTGAAGAATCACCCTTGGTGGACACAGTGTCAGTTTCCTGTCCATCTGTTACCTGATAGGCCCAGGGTTGAGTCTTTTTCTGAGAACCCTTAGCTGGTCAGATTAGACAATCTGGAACGATGTGACCATATTGCTTGCAATAGGTGCACACATTCTTCTTCTTACAGTGAGATGCAATGTGTCCAAAACCCTTACACTCATAGCACTGGGTTTTGGAGAAGTCCTTGGAGGTTGACTTCTTACCTCCATGAGCAACAAAAGCTATTTCAGCCCCAACTTCAGTCATCTTTCCATCAAATTCAGCTATAGTGAGAAGCCTAGTCTCTTCCCTCAGTAGTTCCCCTAAAATAGAATCCAAGTCTGGAAGTGTTCCCCTACTCAGAATGTTGGACCTGATTATCTCATTTTCAGGTCTAAGCCTCGTCAAGAACTGAGTTACCTTCCTCTTTTCAACGTGTTTCTGGAGATATTTCACACATTCTGTTAGGTCCGAGGGTTCAATATGGACAATTTCATATTCAGCCCACAAATCAAGAAAACCTGAATAATATACTTTTTTTTATAGGAAACAGTAACTTTCATTAGATAAAACCATAAGAAACAACTTTCACCTTCCAAAGTAAAAGGTGACCCCTGAATAACAAAAATCTTACAACACTGCGCAAAACAAAAACTCCCGATTCACCCCTTGTTTTGCTAGGTTGTTAGCTAAAGTATTTGCTGACCTCCTAGACCAATACACTTTTGCACCCAGCTCCCTTGTGAGGCTCAATAATTCCCTTACCTGTTGTCTAAGGGACCACGTTCCCAAACTATTTGATTGCAGCCAACCTACTACTAATTTTGAATCCCCCTCCACTTCCAACTGTTGAAAACCCAATTGCTTGGCCCATCTGAGCCCCTGGAGGAGCGCCAAAACTTCAGCTCTAAGTGAGTCCCCCACACCTATTGGACCAGAATACAAAGCTAGGATTTTTCCTTCCGCATCTCTAAACACACCCCCTATTCCAAAAGGTCTGGGGTTCCCAATAGAGCTGCCATCAAAGTTCAGTTTGACATGACACTGCAAAGGAGGGGACCAAACTACTTGTATGGTAGGTGATGAAGTAGAAGATCTTGCTAAAATACTCCAGCCTCTAATCAAATCATCTGTAGAGACATCCTTGAACAAGTCAAGAGTTTTCAGCCAATGGCCTTGATGGTGATCCCTTCAATAACTTCAGGAGCTGATTTTTCTTTCCCTTGGAAAATCCTATTGTTTCTCTCTTCCCATACTGCCGACAAGATAGCTGCCCTTGTTGTTTTCCACATCACCCTTCCTTTCTTCTTTGGTTGTCGGAAAAAGCTAGGGTTAAATAAATTTGCTACACTTGTGGGAGGATTCCACCTACAATCAAAGAGAGAGGAGAACCAACCCCAAATAAGAGCACTAAAAGGACAAGAATTTAATAGGTGATTCACTGTCTCACCATTCCTCAAGCAAAGGCTACAAACATGAGGTGACAAGCACCAATTTGGTCTCTTTCTTTGAAGGACTTCCAAGGTATTGATTTTTTGGACAACCACTTCCCAACAAAAAGCCTTTACTTTTGGGGGGATCGGAGTGCTCCAAACTTCTTTAACAAGAAAAGAGGAAATTGGGTTAGAAGGAAGGACCATAGCATTGAAAAACGAAGAACAAGAAAAACTACCTGTAGAAGTTTCTGCCCAAACTCTATTGTCCGAAGAGGAGTGGTCTAGAAAAACTGAACTTAGAAGAGAAAAAATATCATTTGCTGAATCCACTTTTGAGTCCCTTAAACCTCTCCTTAGTCCTAGATCCCAAAAATCCCCAAAAGTACGAAAAGAAGAGATAAATTGAGATTTTTTCAAAGAAAGGGAATAAAGGTTTGGGAATCTATCCTTAAGAGGAGATTCCCCAATCCACAAGTCCTCCCAAAAAGAAATCTTATTACCCACGCAAGAATCATACCTGATGAAAGGAGAGAAGATAGGCAAGATACCAACAATATCTTTCCACGGGGAAAAACGCGAAGCCCTTGGGTCGAGTCCAGTGTCCCATTCATTTGCTGCCATTCCATGAATACTTCTTATCACCTTATGTCATAGACTCTCTTGCTCCTTAGGAAACCTCCATAACCATTTGCCTAACAAAACTGCATTTCTTATTCTAATATTTCCAATCCCTAAACCCCCTTTGTCTTTCTTTCTAGACACTACTTCCCATTTGACCCTTTGATCCTTTTTGGTATCTCCAGGCTCCCACAAAAAATCTCTCATTATTTTTTTCAATCTGGTTTGCAATCTTAATAGGTAATTTGAAGGTAGACAAAAAATACACTGGCAAATTTTCTAGTGTTGACTTAATTAAAGTGATTCTACCCTCCAAAGAGATGTAGTTCCTTTTCCAATCCACTAGCCTTTTTAGAATCTTTCCATGATTGGGTACCAAAAGCTAACAGACCTCGGATTTCCTCCCAAAGGTAAGCCTAAATACTTAAGGGGCCATTCACTTACCTCACAACCTAGAGATCTAGCCAACGATGCCACCTGACCTTCTTGCCTATTAATTCCAGCTACACAACTTTTATTCCTATTTACTCTCAAGTTGGAGACCTTTTCA